ACAGGTGTCACAAACGCATTTCATCACCTCAGCTCTAAGGTCAAGGTTACAAATCAAGGTCAAATATCTTAGCTTGTCTGTATCATAATTCCTGATTCACTCAAGTTAGTTTAACTAAACCTGATGCACATTTGTACCACCACTACATGATGTGTCTCATAATCATTTCATCAATCTCTCCAAGGTCAAAAATCAAGGTCAAAGTTTATGAAAGTTCTTTGCTCGTCCGGGCCACTACTATAGATCGCTGTATAATAGTTTGTTGACGAGCGTATAATGTGTTGAAGGTGGTACTCCAGCAGTCGTCTTGAATGGGCTTAACTTTAACAGTTAATCAGCTAAAATCCATCCATGGATATTTTGCTAACACTACAAACAAACACATGTGATAATGAAACGTTTCGTGTTTGTTTCAGATCTCAGCTCAGGAGAGTCGGAGGAAGAAGAAAGAATATGTGGAATGTCTGGAAAAGAAGTAAGAACAATCTTAACTTTCCATTTATCTCACGCTCCGTTAGCTCGCGGCTAAATGTAGCTCCTTCCTCTACGTTTTAGCTGCTTTGCGCCGCACACCTACTTCACATCTAAACACGTCGGCAACAAAAAACGTTTCATGTCGGTCCTGCAGCTGGAACTACTTTCACAGCCAGCTAAAATAAAGCTTCCTTGTATCACTTCAGCTTCTCTCAGTGACTTCATTTGATCTTTTAAACCCTCGACCCTTTAGCTGCAGGAAAAAATGAGTAGCTAGAGTTGTGTAATCCTGACGGGAGCTTGGCAGCAGCTGCTCGGACACAAGCCAGCTGTAAAAAAATAAGTATTTCGAGGTTTTCCCGCTGGAGCCTGACTCGGGTCATTTCTGTTCACGGACTTCTTTGACCCACAAGATGGAGGTTTTATCAGCCGTCATCTTCCCTGTAGTAAGTCTTCAACAAGCAGCTAAAAGCTAACCGGCGCGCTCATTTGTGTGTGGATTTATTTTACATCTCCATATTTATTAATTAAAATAGATGCGCAGCATTTTGTGTCGGATTTAACAAACGTGTCCCGGCTTGTTATATTTTTGTAGTTTATCAAAACATTCGGCTCGTTCTGTAGAGGGGTGCCGAGACTTTTGCATCTTTTATAATTAAAATGTTTAATTTTATTTTCAAACGACAATAAAGAATCTCTGACTCTGAAACGTTTCTCCGTATCTCTGATTCCTTCAAAAACTTTGTTCTCTTAGAAATCAGCAAACTATTTCTGTCTGTTTTGGCTGATAGTTTTTAGCTGTTGTTCGGCTACTTTTAGCTTTTAGCTAGCCCTTTTGTTACATTTATCTTCTAGCTGGCCTTTTTACTTTTTATCTTTTAGCTAGCCTTTTTGCTGCTTTTACTTTTTTAGCTTTTCTTTTTTTACTTAAATGTTTGTTAGCCTTTTGAAAATTATAGCATCTAGCTAATCTTTTGATACTTTTAGCTAGCCTTTGTCAACTTTTAGCTTTTAGTTATAATTTGCTACTTTTGGCTTCTAGCTAATTTTCAAATACTTTTAGCTAAGCCCTTTGTCTACTTTTAGCGTTTATTAATTAATTTTATTAATTTGCTTGTTTCAGCAAGTCTCTTGCATTTTTTGGCTTCTAGCTAAACTTTTGGTGATTTTAGTTAGCATTTATCTACTTTTAGCTCTTAGTAAGGTTGCATATATAGCTACCCTTTTTGCTAATTTTATCTTCAAGTTAGCTTTTTGAGGCTTTAAGGTTTTTAGTTGTTTAGCTGTTTGTTAGTCTTTTGGTACTTTTAGCTTTTAGCTAATCTTTTGTTACTTTTAGCTAATCATTTGCTTCTTCTAGGTCGTCTTTAGGTACTTTTTCCTAGCTAATCTTTTATCTATGTTTAGCTCCTCATAAGGTTGAATTGTAGCTAACCCTGGTGCTAATTTTATCATCTAGTTAGCTTTTGCTGCTTTTACTTTTCAGCTAGTGGCTTCAAGAGATCCTTCCTGTCTACAGCATCGAGAACATCTCAATGAAATGAGCATAACGAGCTACAGCAACAAATAATCTCCCTCTGGGATTAATAAAGTATTTTTGAATTGAACTGAATTCTAGCTAATATTTTAGTACTGTACTTTTAATTAGCATTAGCATTTCCGTGTTTAGCCTTTAGTTAGCATTTTGTTAACTTTTACCTTTTAGCCAGTTTTTGGTACTTTAATGTAGCTTTTGTTTACTTTTAGCATTTGCTTATATTTTTGGTTTTATTCGCTTCAGTAAATTTCAGCTGCCATTCGGCTCTTGGCTTCAGCTCCTCCAATTTTAACCAAACCGAGGAGCTTTAGTTTCACAAAGGAAGACTTCTTGTGCTTCTTGTTCTTGTTCTTCTTGTTCTTCCATTCCGTTTGGATTTGTGGCCGTAGTTCTCGTTCGTTCTTCAACCCTCAGGAGTGACTTATATTTGCTGAGACGAGACAAAAACACGACCGTGGAGGAAGATCTGCAGCGCGTCTTCTGACCCAACCGATCAATGGACCTGTCCTTTTCTGTGTCCTCAGGGTGGACAGCTACACGTCAGAAAACGGCGACCTGTGGAGGAAAGTGGAGAACCTGGAGACGGCGAACAGGTGAGGTGCACACCTGCGGAGGCATCTTCACTCCACGGTGCGTCTCGGAGGACGACATCAAACGTAGACAGGATCAACCGAAGCTGCCTCTCCGTTATTATAACCAAAACCATCCTGCTTTTACTCTGAAGGGCTGGAGTCAGACTCCTGCTTTTACTCTGAAGGGCTGGAGTCAGACTCCTGCTTTTACTCTGAAGGGCTGGGGTCAGACTCCTGCT